GTGTCTATACTTGAACGAGTGCTTCATGTCGGTATCCTGTAGAGAAGCGAAATGTACCGCGTTCGTTCGATAAGCATTCACGATGCGTACAAAAGGAATGTGTCCCTTCACCTTATTGCTCATTGTCCGCCTTATGGATGTGGTTTGACGTCTGTCTGCATTTCGATCCAATTTCATTTTTTTCCTACGTTTTAATTTCTTAATTTTCTGAAGAACATTTAATTGAAGTATTACCCTTTATTTATTATCTGCAATTATCTTATAATTATAATATAATTATAATATCAATCTTGTTTCGCGATTCAATCTTAATTGTTTCGTCACGTGCATTAAAGTTGATAGTATAATTTTTTTTTTTTTAATATCATTCAAATCGTTCGTCGTTTTCTCTTTCTTTCCTGTTGTAGTTTTCTTTTTTTTTTTTTTTTTTAACTGCTCGGATATAAACCATTAACGTTCCAAGATACAGAGGTAGATAAAGCACGAAGGGCTTGAGGGGTGCGTTCGTTCCTTCTGTAAAACCCTGTTTTATCTCTCCCGAATTCCTGAATGCCAACTCATCGCGCTTCATTCTAATGTTGATGTCACGCCGAGAGCGTGTCCACGCATTAATTCACAGAAATTAGAAATTGAAATCTGAATTTTGAACACGCGTGTATTTTTACCATTTTTCTAATCTACAAAATTAATTAATCTTAACGACGAACTACAAAATTAATAGAAACTTTGCATGGTTTCTTTTATAAAAGAATGTGAAGTATAATAATATTCTCTACTGTGTACAATTGTGTATAGTTTTTGTCATAAAATTATTTTATATTTCACTAGTGACTTATGACGCAAATAATATTTCTCAAAGATCAAAGTATCGTAAAGTCAGAAATAAAAAAAATTCAAATGAATAGAGCTATCAAAAATTGTTCAATTTTGAAAATTAGATTCTTCGCGTCTTTCTTCTGTGAAAAGCATCACTCGCGTTGAAACAAGGTAGTAATCATCGACTGAAATGGAACTTCATTTGCGTTTAAGACAGATCATCGATGGAATCTTTTTAATTTATGACACTTAACATTAGAAGGTATTTATGTCATCGTTTATTTCGTTTCTTGTTTCATTTCTTATTACTGAGAGATCATCTAATTTTTTATTCTTTCAACTATTACGAGTCATTAAACAAAGTTGAAGCAACATTTAATTTACATCTTTTTTTTGCAAACATCCAATGCTCGTGAAAAATTTCGAATATTTTCTTAATGTTTCTCGTAATTTTGTAAATTTGTCATTTGTACAAAGAGGTTTGTGATTTCTGTAAATCATTTGTTAATCGATCATTAATCATCTATTACTTTATTATTTACGTCTTTCAATACTAATACTACTTTTTTTTTTTTTTTCTAGAGAAATTCCGATTTTCTCGAGCCATTTGTATCAAATACCACAGCGATTAATTAAAGTATCGTTGCTAACTGCGAGGAGAACGTATTATCTCCGTTGGAAATGGAATCTCTCTCGCGGCCGGTGTGGTTCTTTTGTGCCTCTCGACTTAGACGATTTCGAGAGACCGGTTTCCATCCGCAGGTATTCGCAAACCTGGCGGCGTATCCCCCCTCTCGACGACGTGTTTTGGACGACCACTAACGACGTAGATAAGAATAAAGCGACGAGACAGAGAAAGAGAGGAAATACCAATATGTTCGAAGAAGAAAGAACTGTAATTTATATCGAACTGGTCGTAGGTGGTGCGTCTCATTAAAGCAGAGGAAATGATCGTGGATGAATGAACGGCGTCGTGTAGGTGGATGAGATTGCTGGCGGACGACGACGGCCAGAACAAAAGTGAAATGTTCCACTTGTGTGTGCCAGGTAGTAAATTACTTTGCCACTAGTAATCTGAGGAATTAAATAAAATTAATAAAAAAAAAATTATAACAATTTATAATGTCTCGAAAAGTATTATTTGCCATTTAAAGTATTTATTCATTTCATTTATAGAGATTTTTGTTTTCTTTGTCAAAGTATATGAAATTTCACAAATTTTAGCCAATGAATAGGTAAATTAACAATTTATTTGGCTATTATATTAACACTCTTGTGAAAAAGATTATATTGCTAGATTTTATACTGCTATTACAAATTCTCAAAAGCTTTTCTACATAATCAAATAATTATATACTCTCAAAACATCTAATAGATATAATTCCTTCACTGTTTAGATTAGATTACTCCATAAATATTAGGATGAAACTTAATCAAAAATCAAAGTTGCCTAGCTTATTTTTATTCTATTATATTCTATTCTTTTTAGAATTCATCACTGCTCTCTGAAGTTTTCATTAGTAGGCACTAATGTGTCCTGTGACAAGTTTCATTTTTTTTTATAAAATTGCAAGTACTTCTAAACTTTTTGGAACGTCATAATACTTACATTGCAAGCAACGAAAAATACAAAGTCGTACCAGTCGATGCTATAATCAAGGTAAAGATCAGCTGATTCGTGATGAGATGTACGATCTAATTACTAAGAGTTATTCGATTCTACACCATATTCGTTTATTTCATTTTTCACACGATCCAGATAGTTTTGGTACGAATGAACTTCATTGCAAGTTTACATCCTTCTACGTACCTAGTTACATAGAAATATTAGATAATTATCTAAGTTCAATTAGTTATTGTTATTACTTGTATGTTACTCCGCTTAATTTTATTGGAAACTTTTTGTTAAGAAAAGAGAAATTGCTTGTTAAAGTTATCACCCCGTGTGTCTAATCATGTTGCCGACCTTGAATTTTATTGTCATTTTACAGTTTTACGTAACTGAAGTGCCTTGCATTTTTTGCATTAAATATCCCCGAGGCAATCTTTTAAAACGAACCAGTTTGTACCATGATCACCGTTCAACAGGAAAGAAAACAACGATGAAAAAGAAGATTGCAATAAGGTTGCAAGAAATTGTTCAAGGCAAACGTGAACTGGTATGCATGACCGATTCCCCTTCTTCTTTCACCCTTTTTCTCGCTATGACAACTTCCTTCATTAAACCTCCTTCAGAAACACAGTGAACGATGTGAAAGTGAGGGACAGTGATGCTCAGATAGCTAAGAAAAAAAAAAGAAGAATGTTTTTTTCTTTTTTTTTTTTTTTTTGATTTCAACATCGAGACATCCGGTTTTGAAAGCAGAAAAAAAAGATCTTACTTACAAGAAGTAGGAGGAAAAGATAATGAAAAAAAAGCTGAGATCCGATTTAGAAGGAATAATTAAGTTGTTTGTTGTTTATGCCGAGCAAATCTTGTAAACAGTGTTTTCACACCGATTAATTTACATGAAATGCAGGATGTTTTTTCTTGGTGGAGGCATTTCTTGCTAAAGCAATTGTCACCTGCATCGTGATTCGTTCGATCTGAAGTCCGCTGACACCTCTGGTGTGTCTCTGCTTTGGTGAATACTTTGGTGGGGTCTCGGGAGCCTCGTCCAGACGCGCGAAACCGGAGACTTCAGTTGTCACTGCGACACCAATGGAACAACATTATATTGTGTAACTTTCCAACGAAGAATTTTATTATCAAGTTATTTCCACTGCTACTCGCGCAAACTTTGTTCAGTCTCTGAAGAAACACGATGTTCTTGTGTTAAAGTAGTATTTCAATCGAGTTCCATCAGATCTGATTCAACAAGTGTTCTTCGTTCACGTGCTTCGTGCAATTTTTCAATCAAAATAACTCTTCGAATAGCTTTGGAACAGTTAGAAGAAGTTTGATTGGCATGAAATTTCAGTGTCTTTAAATATTTCTACTCGTTTAATGATTTTCTCCTGTATAACATAATCGACGACGAAGAGGAATAATAATTTGTATTAAGTCAGACCCTCGGTAAGTTTTAATTGTACTTTTATATTTAATTGATCGATATCCATGGTGTAGGAAGGAAATCAGTGAAACGAC